TGCCAGACACATGTACTAGTCTTTGGAACTACTTTCCAAATCCAACTTAATTCTTCTGATGACTGAGTTTTTGATGTACCTAGAAATTCAAGGTCACCTGTTTTATCTTCTCAAACTCTTTCTTTAGCTATCCCCTCACCTCCCTGCCTTCTAGAATTCTTTATAACTTTCTATTTACATTACAGTCAAATGCATTTTAAATTATATATATATATTTTTTGACAGTGTTGGGGTGAGGTATGTTGTACCAGAAACCAAACCAGGACTGTGTACATGCAAAGCATGTACATGACACTGTACATGAGTCAAGATTCATAGAGCTACTGGTGACACATTCTTAGCCCTAAGTTATTTTTTTGCATGTAGATATCCAGTTGTTTCAGCATTATTGAAGACTCTCCCCATTGAACTGACTACTCCTTTATTGATTATATTGATCAGTTAATTATAAGCTGATGTTGGGCCATGCCAGCTCTCTTTTTCTTTGATTTTGTCATTTGTGCTGGCTACTCGCTTCTCTGAAAACCTTAGAATCAGTTTTTCCATATCCACAAAATAGCTTTCTGGGATTTTGGCATCTCACTATAGATGAAGTTGGGAAGAACTGACATCTTACTAATATTGAAGCTTTCTATATCTGAACAAGAAATGGTTCATTTATTTGCTGTTCCCCTAATATTTTTATCAGAGATGTTCACTTTTCCTCATATCTTTTTTTTTTTTTTGCAGGGTCCACACCTGATAGTGCTTAGGTGTTACTCCTGGCTCTGCACTCAGCAGTTACTTCTGAAGGTGCTCAGGGGAACATATGGCATGCAGAGGATCAACCCTGGTTGGTCTTAAGCAAGACGAATGCCCTACATTGCATTATCACTCCAGCCTTATCTTCATACAGATCTTGTATGTTACTTATTTTTTGTTTTTGGGCCACACCCGGTGATGCTTGGGGGTTACTCCCGAAGTACTTGAGGACCATAGTGATGCCGGAGATTGAACCCAAGTTGACTGCATGCAAGGCAAGTGCCTTAACCTCTGGTATATGTTACTTATCACGGCATCCTTGAATTATTGGTGAAGGTTAAGTAGGTGGAACAAAGGGAATTTTTAGGGCAGTGAAACTACTTTCTATGACAGTGTAATGGTAGATATGACACTATACATCAGTCAAGACCCATAGAACTGTATAATTGAAGAGTGAACCCTAATTTAAACTATGAACTTTAGTTAATAACATTAATAACTTAAGGAATAACAAGATTCACTAACTCCAACAGATGTACTATGCTTCTGCAAGCTGTTAATAGGGGAAACTGAGCCAGAGTGAGGTTATATAGAACTTTCTGTACCACCTGCTCAATTTTCTTTTTCTTTTTTTTTTTAATTTTGGGGAGGGGGCGGTTGTTTTTGGGCTACACCCACATCCAGCGATGCTCAAGAATTACTCCTGGCAGTGCAAGGGTGATGATATGGGATGCCAGGGATTGAACCCCAGTCTGCCGTGTACAAGTCAAACATCTTATCTGCTGCCTTATCTCTCCAGCCTCTCAATTTTCTATAAACCTGAGGCTTCTCTAAATAGAGTCTATTAGCTTACAAAAAGGATCAACAGCTACTGGCAAGTCCTCCACGGCAACTACTTGCTAACAGCATTAACCCTATAGCCTCCGACTAGGCAGAGGGAGTCCCTCTGACTGCTGTCCAGTGCGGCTGCACTGAGTCACTCAGGTTCCACAAGGGATCGGGGATACTGTGCTATCCCCCTGGCCTGGAACACTCTCCCTTGAAGCAGCGTTGTGGACTTCAACTCAGGAATACAAAGGAGTAACAGCAGCCTACGGCATCTTTCTCTCACCTCCTGTGCTTCCAACAGCACCTCTGTCCTGTCTATTTCCTGCATTCAACTCAACATACCCTGCTGTGCTGGATCCAGCCTAACATTTCAAAAAGTACAGACAGAGGAACCACAACATTTCAGCAGAGAAACCATCACTCCCACAGTGCTGAATCACAGTAACGACCAGTTCCCAGACTCTTCATCAAGGCACCTGAAGGTGACACTGCACATTCACAAGAGACACTGGATTTACTGAAATCTGGGAAACGCAATACCTCAAATTTAATATCTGCTGGCTACCAAAAAAGTCTTATTTTGTTTTTGAGTCATACTCAGCGATGCGCAGAGGTTACTCCTGGCTCTGCACTCAGGAATTACTCCTGGCAGTGCTTGTGGGACCATATGGAATGCCAGAAATGGAACCCAGGTTGACCCCATGCAAGACAAATGACCTACACACTGTACCACTGCTCTGACCCCAAAAGAATCTCCAAAATCTTTTTCTTTGATTTTGTCATTTGTGGTGGCTACTCTTTTAAGATAGTTCAGTTTTAGTGTTACCATCATTATGACATCTTTTGAAAAGTTTCCCTCCCACCCCTTTTGGGTCATATACAGTGATGCTCAGGGGTTCATGTAGTACTGGGAAGTGAACTGGGGGCTCCTGCATGCAAAGCAAGCCCTTCAGTCCACCGAGCCATCACCCCATCTTGAGAAGCTGGGATTTTAGAGGCTGCTAAGATAAAGCAAATGAAAGTCTCATTTTGAAAGGAAATGAGGGTGGCAGGGTCTGATCAGAATAGAAAGTACAAGGGGTGTGGCGGCCACTCCCAGAGATCTTGGGTCCAACAGGGCTATATGTAGAGTTTCTGGGGGGTTATGTGGGTACTGGGGATCAAACCCAGGGCCTTGAAAAGCTAGGCATATGCTTTATCACAAATTCACTGGCCAGTCTGACAAGCTTTGCAGTGCCCAAAGGCAGAGATCTGATTGGTGATTGTAGTTATTTAAGAATGAAAAAAAATATTGCTCCTTCTAATTGTATTTTATTGTTTTAGGGGGATATAGGCCATACCCAACGGTGTTCAGGAATGTTCCTAGTTCTCTGCTTGGCTGTGACCCCTGATGCTCCTTGGGGGGCCATATGTGGTGCCAGGGATCAAACAAGGGTCAGTTGCATGTAAGGTAAACATCTTAGCTCCTGCAAGCTCCTGTTAGCTCTAGGGCCTCAATTATATGTTTATTATTATTATTTTGGTTTGGGGGCCCCATCCAGCAGTGCTCAGAGCTTTCTCCTGGCTCTGTGATTCCTTGAGTGCGCCTGTCAGAGCTCAGGGGGCCATGTGGGGTGCTGGGGATTGAACTTGGGTTGCCCCAAGTACTGAGCCAAGAGTAGCCCCTGAGAAGTCCTGGGTGTCACCCCCAAAGAAATACAATTTACTGAGACACTAATGGTGGGGTGAATGCTTTGGGCTGAGAAAAATTGGCAACTTTCTCTGTTCTACGTAATCTCCTAATCCTGGTCATACCAAAAAACTGCAGTTTGGTTGCAAAATCCATTTAGTGGGTTATAACCAGCATTTTCTCTCCTTAATAAAATAGAATGGTAAATAGAACACATGGCATGTAGCAGACATAAGCAAACTGTGCAAAACTTATGTTCATTATATACATACAAACTAAGCAAGGATCTCTTGGGTCGCAATGTAAAATGTCTGCTTCTCGTCTGGGTCTGATATGGAAAACCACTCCAGACCCCTTCTACTTCAGTTGAGAAAACAGCCTGGAGAGTGAAGGGTGATTATTGCATCGCTCCGGGGCCCCTCCTGTGAGGCCAGGAGAGGTGGGCAGGCAGCAAGCAGCATTATTCTGCCAGGCAGAGGTGTGGTCACTCAGTCACCCAGCCACAGAGCTGAGGGATCCCCTACCCTCGCTGTGGTCCCAGGACCCACTTGTACCCCACAAATGCCACCAGCCACACCTAGAACAAAATGTTTTAATCAATTGCGTCACCCTCACTCTCCTGGGAGCAGAGCAACAAAAAGGCTCGGCTCCTGCCCCCAGAGGACAGTAAGGCTTATGTGTCTCTCCACACTGCAGGGCCCCGGCGGGCTGGGCGGGCAGGGGCAGGGGGCAGGGAGAGGGGAAATGGCGGGTGGCTCCAACGCAGGGAAGCGGAGGGGCTCTGCTGGTCCACGGGGCCGGGCCCCAGCCCCACTCTCCCCTCCCTGGCTAGAGAAAGGTCACGGCGAAGAGACAGGGGAGCAGGTCCCAGCAGCAGGAGAAGCAGCAGCAGCTGTTCCCTTCCCCAATAAATATACTTCATTACCAAGCTGGGAGGGGGAGAGGGGCTGGGGTAGGGAGGGACAGGGAGAAGCTGCCACCTGTGTTGTCTGGATTAAAGCAGAGCCGAGATGGTGCCAGCGCCCCTACCACTCTCCTCACCCCCCATCTTCTTAAAACTGTGAAAAAGCTTTTAACATGGTCCTCCTGTCTCCAGGGCGGCTCTGAAGCCTGACTGAGAGGAGGCACCTGGCAGAGACAGGGGTGGAGGGAGGAAGGGGAAGGAGGGGGAGGGCGGAGGGAGGCGGCTTCTCCCCAGAGGCTGCAGCTGGAGAGCTGGAGCCAAATAAGCACTGAGGGGGAGAGGGAGGGAGAGGCGGGAGGATGAACCCACCACCACCGCGCGCGGCTCCTAGCTGAGAGCCAAGGGGGCGGGTGGGGCCCTGGGGAGCGGCGGGGCGACCTGCTGCTGCGTCCAGTGTAAAGCTCGGGCTGCTGAGGGGGGCGGGGGCTGAGCTAGGGACTTCCCGTCTGAGTGGTTCAGGAGACCCCCTCCCCCCGGAGCAGCAGGGGACAGAGAAAAGCCATCACTTCTTTGGTCTTTGTGGCGGCTCAGCATGTGGGGCGGGAGGAGGGTGGAAGGCCCTTAGCGGGGAGCCCCACCTCAGTGAGGACAGACCCAGCTGGGTGCTCTGGCAGAAAGGTCACAGTGAGGCCGAGGAGCGCCCCAGAGAGGAGAGTGGCTGTAGTGCTGACAGGGAGAGCTGGCATGGAGGTGGGTGGGCTCCCATGCCAGGGTCCCGGGAAGAGGCTGGACCCCAGAGGTGACCGGTGAGAGCGGGCGTGGGGTCCCGAGCCGGAGCCCGGGACGCGCCGAGGGCCTGCGTGCTCTGCCGTGACCAGGGCAGTGGCGTGGCCTGGCCCGTGCTGGGGCTCCCGCTCTCCCTCTGGCCCGACCCAATACTGTGGCTCTGGGAGGGCAGGACCGGGTCCTTTTCCAGGGCCTTCCCTGAAGCCCCAGGGCAGCGAGCCTTGCTGCTGGGGGAGCCCTTACTGATGGGGGTTCACTCCCTTTTCTGCGGCCGGCTGAAGGGGGTGGGTGGTCCCGGAAGGCAGCTTCAGGCTGGGCCTCCAGGGACATGGAAGTGGGAGGGGCACACTGAGGGGCTTCTGGCCCCCAAGTCTGAAAGCCAGCAAGTTGTAGCAACCCCCACCCCCATTGCCAAACTAACAAAATGGGGGCGGGGGAGGGGGGGAGGAAGACAAACCAAACGGAACCCCCTGACTTCCTGCCCAGGGCGCAGGTCCAGCCAGTAGCAGGAGGGTCTAGCTGGGCCGGCACTGCACCTGGCCCTCTGAGCTGTCCTCGTCGTCTGAGGCCCCGGCACCGCCCGCGCTGCTCAGGCCCGCGATCTGGTAGCCCATGTTGAGCAGCATCACCTCCAGGGGGTCTGCGTTCATGCGCCGCTGGTTGGCCTGGGAAGCCCCCTCCATGTCCTCCACCACTCGGCCCGTGAGGTCTTCACTCTGCGGAGGGGAGAGACGCGCACGACTGGGGTGGATGTGTGGGGGACCAGCACGCACCGAGGGACAAGGCACCACGCGGGGTGATGGGGGGGCATGTGGGGAGACACCTGGCCATGGAAGCCAGGACACGCTGCAGAGTGGGGGAGATGGGCACTCAGGGGGCACCTAGCTGGGGTACACACTCACGGTACACAGAGGGAGGGGCATGGCATGACGAGTATCAGGACGTGTTGGGGGTGCAGACTGGGCACTGGGGGAGAGTACAGACGCCGCGACCGACCTCATCGCCCCTTCCTGCTGTCATCCTTCCCAGAGTCTCCCCGCTTCAGCCTGCTCCTCAAGCCACCGCCGGGATGGGAGTGACCACTAAATCTCTGTCTGTTGCCCAGCTGGTTTCCTACTCAATTTTTTAAAATTTTTATTTATTTATTTATTTTTGCTTTTTGGGTCACACCCGGCAATGCACAGGGGTTACTCCTGGCTCTGTGCTCGCGCTCAGGAATTACCCCTGGCAGTGCTCAGGGGACCATACAGGATGCTGGGAATTGAACCCGGGTCGGCTGCATGCAAGGCAAACACCCTACCCGCTGTGCTATTGCTCCAGCCCCTGGTTTCCTACTCTAGTGAAGGGTCCACACTATCTCTGAGTGTCTCCAGGCCTGAATGCTCCACAGAGATTTCCTCCTTTTCTTCTTGGTTTTTTTGGGGTTACTCCTGGCTCATGCACTCAGGAATTCAGGAATCACTCCTAGTGGTGCTCGGGGGACCATATGGGATGCTGGGAATTGAATCCGGGTCGGCTGCATGCAAGGCAAACACCCTATCCGCTGTGCTATTGCTCCAGCCCCCTTGGTTTTTTTAAAAAAAAATTTATGGGGGGGGGTTTGGTCATGGTGGGGGTCTCTGAATCCTACTCCAGCTCTACTCTTAAGTGCCACTCCTGGTAGAGCTCAGGGGGCCATGCAGTGTGGGGACTGATTCCTGCTTGCCAAGCATGTGCTCCAGCTGGTTGAGTCCTCTCTCTGGCCCAGGGGCACCTCTTTTTGGTGGGCAGAGATGGCTCAGTCCCTCGAGGAGCAGGATTCAAACTCAGGCTCACTAGGCTCGAAGCCTGTATGTCTGGCCTGCGGCTGAGGGAGTAGCCTCCACAGAGAGGCCTGCTGGGACCAATGCACCATGGTAGCAAGGCATGATCTCAGGAAGTGGCCCCTTTCCTGCCCTCTTGCCCTGATGTCCCTGGCCACTGGTCTGGTGTGGGAGTCTCCCTATGACTCACTCAGGACAGTCCCCTAGAAGGGGCAGGGGTCAACTCGAGCTCTTGACACACCCACTGCATCTAAGCTTCCAGAACTCCACAGCTAGGACACACAGCCTTGGGTGCCGGGAAGGAGTGGATCCCAGCGGCATCTAGCTTCTGCATTACTGAGTTCTCTTCTCAATGGGAAGAGGCCTGGCCAGGTTCACCCCAGCCTTCCTACGTCCTCACCTCTGGCCGGGGGTTCCAGAGCCGCACAACGGGATCGATGCCACTGGTGGCCAGGAAGCAGTAGCTGGGGTGTGGCTGCAGGCAGTTGACAATGGACTCGTCCCCTCGGAGCACGCGGACGAGGTTGGTGGTCTCTTTTTCCCAGATGAAGAAGGAGCCGTCATCAGAGCCACTGACAATGTACTGAGCATTGCTGGCAGGGGACAAAGGACAGGGAGGTCAGGTGCAGGGCTCGCTGCATGCCTCTCGGAGAGGCTGCCTGGCTCAGGGCAAGCGGGAGCAGAGAACTGGGTTCCACGCAGCCCCCAGAGTCGAGGGTCTTTACCGACTCAAACCTTACATGAATAGGCTAATAATTCTCATACGGAAGGGCCTTTACTGCTCTTCAGCTGTTCTCTCAGACGGGGTCAAGGGTTGCCCGGGTCCCTCTGTGGGAGTTAGGAGTGATTTTCCTATGTCCCTAGATCTCTGTCTACCCTTGGCCCACTGCCGTTCCTCACACACTGCGCTGACACTCGAAGGGGATCGTGATGGAGACGTTCTCCATGTATATTCTTGGAGCTCATCTCCCATTGGGAGCGGAACATTGACCAGAGGAGAGGGCTGGGGTTCTGGTGTCTGAGACACAAACGGGTCCTCCAGTCTCTGTACCTGTAGTTAGGAACCCACAACAGTCCTGCGGACTCCTGCCTCACTGCCCTAGCAGAGGGAGGCTCATGCGCCCAGACAGAGAGACCAAGCTCTGGCACACGGAGCCGGACAGCACAGGAGGTGAGGGATAAAGGAGACCAGGCCCTCTGCTGGATGCCGCATGGATGACCTCGCTGGTCTCTGCACAGCCCCATGACTGAGGGTGGAGGGCTCCATTTTATAGATGCCGAAACTGAGGTCCACAGTAGGGAGGTCATTTGCCCTGCAGTAGAGGAGGAGCTGGGCTTTGAGACTTTCCTAAGAGCATTTTGCCCCCAAGCCCCCAACCTCCAGTTGCCAACCAAGCTGTGCCCTCTTCTTCAGGGCCTCAGACCTGCCAAAGAAATTGGCCTCCTTGATATCCGTGGTGCTGTTGCAGTGGCCACAGTAGCGGAACTGATAGTCGTAGCTTCGTTCCCGCAGCACCATCTCGTCCTCTGAGATGGAATCCTTGCGGCTCGTGCTGCGCAGGCGGACAGGGCCTCCACCAGCTCCCTTCTTCTCCTCTGGGGACAGACAGCAAGGAGAGGTGAGGGCCTATTCCCCCCTCCCCCACTCTTGTTCGCAGCCCTGACCCTGGGTGCAGCCCAAGCAAGAGCAATGCAGGGCTCCCTTTGCCCTCCCCTGGAGAACTGGGAACAACTGTGGTGAGGAAGCATGATCGAACACAGGCCGTGAGGATGTTCAGAGAGGCCTGAGGCCGGGAGGCAGCTCTCCCTCTTGGCCCCCGGAAAGATGCCTGGAGCCTGGCCTGAGTGAGGCCAGGCCCAAGGTCTGCTCCGTGCTGGTGAAAGGCCGCTGGGCACCAGCAAGCAAACCTTGAACAGGCGATTTTCCCAAATAGATCCATAGCTCTAAAGGCAGTAAGGAACAAATAGGTTCTCTCTGGAGTTATCTTGGAGCTCAACCGAGGCACTGGGGTGGCTACGTGTCATGGGTAATACCATACCCATTTTCTCGACTCTTTATTGCTGCCCGCTAAAGGGCCATTACACAGGTTAGTCCTTAAGCCAGGAACTCTCCCAGCCTCCCCCGCCCCCACCCCAACAACTACACTTTGTATCTAGTTAACTCCTTCTCATGCTCCTGGAGACCTCAGCTTTGATGTTTCTTTACCAAGAAGCACTGCCAACAAGCCCTCTCCCATACTCCTAGACCATGGCAGGTCTCCGTGTCACTTGTCACACTTCTTTCTCCATTGTTTGTCTGGTTCTTTCATTTGGCTCTAAAACCACGAATACAGAAATACTAATGGATTTGTTCAAAGCCAGACTTCCAGGGTCCTGCACAGTGCCTGACACATGGCAAATGCGTGAAATATACTCAAGTTCCCCTCCCCCAAAAAAGGAAAAAGAAAAGAGCCAGAGGGGCTGAAGCGATAGCACAGCGGGTACGGTATTTGCCTTGTATGCGTCCAACCCGGGTTTGATTCCCAGCATCCCATATGGTCCCCTGAGCACCGCCAGGAGTAATTCCTGAGTGCAAAGCCAGGAGTAACCCCTGTGTAACACCAGGTGTGACCCAAAAAGCCAAAAAAAAAAAAAAAGGAGCCAGAGAGATAGTGTAATGGGTAGGGTGCTTGTTCTGCACATGGCTGAATCAGGTTCGATCCCTGGCACGCCAGGACTGATCCCTGAGCACAGAGTCAAGAACAAGCCCTAAGCACCACCGCTGGGTGTGGCTCAAAACCAAAAAAGAAAAAGTAAAACCAATGGCTTGGTCAGTTCTTTGGCAATGCATGAAACATACTGTTAGCATATTTCAAGCTAGTAACTGCAAAGAAGAGAGGATCCGACACTTCTCCAACTTGCTCTGCAGTGCTCCGAGGTGACGTGGACAGAGCTTCAAATGCTTTCTCTGCAGGTCAAACAGCAGGCTGAGAGAAGATGTGCTTCACCCAAGGTCCCATGGATACTGCACGTCAGAGCCAAGACTGCAAGCTGCAGCTCCCTGCTGTGTGCCAGAGGCATTTCTATTGCCCAGGATTCCTGCCTTTGCTGCAGGTGGGCACCCCGGTAGCAACGGAACCCTTAGCAACTGTCCCCACAGAGCAGACAGGGCCCCGAGTTTATACTCAGGTGAGAAGACCCAGCTAGAGTTGACAGCCTGCCTGAGCCCAGCTCGCTCTTATCCTGGGTCCAGGGCACTCTGCTGGGTGCTTTCAACATGCTACTGTTCAACCTTCCAGTCTCTGGAGAGCAAGTACTGGCCTCCCCATTGCAGGGGAGCAGAGGGAATCTCTCAGAGAGCAGGAGACTGTCTCCAGGTCACCTGGTTTCTGATGAGCATTGAAACCCAGGACTCCCCCAACCCGAGAACGGCATCCTCTTCAGAAAGTCAGGAAGCATTTAGACCAGCCCTCCGAGGGCCTACTCACCGCCATCGTTTTTGGAGAAGAGGGCAGCGGTGATGTCACGGCCCAAAGCATCACAGGCACTGCTGTGGGCCTGCTCTGGGAACTTCCCCTTGAAGTCATCCAGGCACTCCAGGGCCTCAGCGACATACTTGAGCTCAAAGAGGCAGCGGGCCAGGCGGAAGTGTGCCTTCAGGTGGCATGGGTTCAAGGAGATGGCCTTGAGGCAGTCTCTCAGAGCATCGTAGTGGTCACCATCCCTGAGAAGGCCAGTGAGTGTGGTCAGGAGGTAGGGCAGCAGGCAAGGAGTCCCCCACTCAGTCCTGGCTTCCTGCGGCCACCAGAGCCCGCCTCTGACCCAGAGCAAGGGGTTCCTTGCAACTGAAGAAAATCCTGGCGCAGCAAGGCCTCACTTCCCAGAAGACAGAGTGTGTTAAGGAAACCAGCCAGGAACCCTGAGGTCTTAGGTAGGGTGGGGGAGGGGGGAGAGCGGGAGCGCGGCGGATGGGCGGCTGGAAGCTGCGTGTGTGGCAAAGACCAGTGTTGGGCTGCCCTCTGCTGGACCCAGAGCGCAACTGTGCACAGCTCACCCCAGGCGCCTGCAGCGCTGCAGCACAAGTGCTGGCATTGTGCCCGCTTCAGCCCTCCTTCTCACTTCCTCCATGCACCTCCTAAAATCCCGCCCGGCTGGCCTTCAAAGTCATGTCCCAGGCCGGCGCCCTCAAGGACAGCTCGGAGGTCTGGGGAAGCCAGAAGTGCCAGGCTGGGGGCTCGGGGCCTGACCAACAGGCAGCAAGCCGAGCTGCTCCCGCTCTGTCCTGGCCCACTGATCCACAGCAGCTGTGGCCTGCACCTCCTGGGGCTGGAGGAGGGGGACTGACAGTCTGGCAGAGTCAGCTCAATGGAAGCTGATGGCGGAGCGGATAGACACCAGGAGTTCCAAATCAGTCCTCCTTGCTTCTCCAGTCTCCTAAGGCAAGGATGCAGGGAAGGAGAACGGAGCTTTTTGGAGGTGCAGTAAATGGGGGGTGGGGGTAGGGGGGGCAGTCAAGGAAAAGCCTCCTCTTCCCCCCCTCAGAGCTCCTGTGCCTGTACACAGGGTCACACTCCCCCCAGCGCGCTGCTTCTGCCTCTCCAGGGGAGAGCTGGAGGGCGGCTTCTCTTCTGGGAGCGGTGTTTTGTCCCGCTGGGCTAAGGTGGCCTGAGACCCAACTGTGCCAAGCAGCACTCACAGGGCTGATGGCCTTTCCGCTCAGCCACTGCTCACAGCCCTCCCACACAAGCCAAGGCAGGCGTGACAGGGACAGTGTCCTCCTGACCGCCCCCCCCCCCCCAGCCCCCCTGAGAGCGAGCAGCCGGCTCTCCAGCAGCCAGGCCCAGCCAGCCAGGCACAGGCAGATCAGCCAGTGTGGGGGCAGACAGGAAACGGTGCTTCGATGGCGTGGCCTGCGTCAGAACGAGTGGCTGTGACGAAGGAGCAGGCGCTGCCTGGAAACCCAATTACTGCCTGCAAGGTGCCCCTCAGAGCTCCTGGGAGACCTAGATTAGAGACCAGCCAGCAGCCCAGGGGTGACAACTCCCACTGCATCCAAGGAGCAGATGGCAGCCCTGGGGAGACTGGCCTGGGACAGACTGTGACATTCTAGGGGTCACTGGCAGGCATGGGGGGAAGGGGAGAGAGCAGGTTGGCCCCAGGGCTCACCCATCTAGACTCATTGCCAGATCAATTTCCCTGAAAGGACGCCCTCAGCACCATCCCTCAACAGCTCAGAACTCCTCAGCAGTTGCCCATCATCCGCTGAATTGAGGCCAGAACGCCACCGCTCTGCATTCCGAGTCCTTTCCGGGCCAGCCCCAGGCTACCTCCTAGACTCATCTCCTGCCAGTCCCTTCCCGGACCCACTGCTTCAGCCAAATGGCTTGTTGTTCAGCAAACCAGCAATTCACTCAGTCCCCCGCCCCCACGCTTTTGTTCCCCCCAAATATCATCTCCCTGGGAAAGGCTCCTCCACTGTCCCCTTCCTCCTTTCATGCTCCCCCCCCCATTCTTTGACTACATCTGCCCACACTTAATGCCCATTCAGACACCCCATCTCCCTGATGCTTCCCTGATTCACAGCTGAAGCCACCACCCATTTTTTCCCTTGAGGAAGACCCACAACGCTTGACCTGACCATTCAGACTTGCTGCTTCTACTTCTGCCTCTCTGATGGTGTGGCAGCCCCTGCCCCAGAGGTGGGGTACTCTGGAGCACAGCAGCGACAAGGCTTTGTGTCCCGAGTACGCTGTACACAGGAGAGTTCAGAGACCAGGCTGAGGACACATAGGGACAGAAAGCAGCTCTCAGCACGGGGCCTGGACAGGGACCACTGTGCCCCACCCCAGTGTTGGATGGGAACCCTGAAACCCTCACCTCCTGGGCCTGGCTGCCCCCTGGGTCCATGGCATGCGCCTGATGCCTGACCTAAGGTCTGAGGGGGCAGTGTGTTCCTAAGTCCCCATTTGCCATTCTGCTATCTTGGGTGGTTTTCTTAAGTCTCCCTCTCCGGCCTGCCTTGTTGCAGCCAGACGATGGCACACCAGCTGGCCTGTCTGTCTGGGCAGAGCCGACGGATGCCAGACGGAGCAGAAATGGCTGTGGGCCCAGCTCTATCCATCTCCAGTCCTGGCCCAGGCTGGGGGATGGGGGCCTGCTTGCCTGCTGGTGCTGCAGGCAGAAGGGCTGGGGGCCCTGATGGTCTCCAGAGAGAAAGGATTCTTTAGGATCCTGGATCTACCCTTTGTCACCTGCCACTAGTGCCCAGTACAACCCAGAACTGGCTTGAGATCTCGAGATTCATGTTTGGTCCAAAGGGGCTGAGCACACAGGAAAGCACACTACAAGGTCAATGACTACAGGATCATTCCACACACAAATCAAGGGAATTCACCACATATCTTATTTCCAACTAGCAAAATTCATTTCTCCTTCGAAGACCAATATGAGACCCCCCATTTCTTGCAATTCTGGTGGTCACGGCACTCTGACAAAGCACCATGCAGAAGTGACCCGTGAATCTGAGAAGCTGAGACCTTTCTTGCGGCTTGAGATGATTGAGGAGAGGGTGGGATAGGGCCAGCACTGAGGTCAGGCTGAGAGACCTGGGCAGAAACCACCAACTGGCATCACCCCCTTCCCTGCATGCTGCAGCAACTCAGCCCCGTGAGGCCTCCTGCCTTCGTCCCTCGCCCTGGCTCAGGCCCACTCACCACTTGCGCTTCATGTAGGCAGCGGCTCGATTTCCATAGAGCATGGCGTTGTGAGGGGCCCTCTGCACAGCCTTGCTGTAGAGCTGAATGGCCTGGGTCCACTGCTGGCAGGCAAAAGCCTCATTGGCCTGCTGTTTCACGCGCTCCAGGTCCGGGGGCAGCTCTACCTGCGGGCTAAGGAGAAGCAGCGCAGAATCGAGTCAGGTCCCAAGGGAAGCGCAGTCCCTCAGGAAGTCAAGAGGTTCCTGCCTGAGGGCTTTTCTGGTTTGCCTTGGCTTGTGGGATTTGCATGGCCAACGAGCAGTGGGGACCACCCTCATCCTCGCCTGGGTTTCCATGGATTCTAAGCCAGTGGAAAGGTGGAGGAGCAGAAACCAGGTTGTCCAAGCTGGTAATTCTTATTCAAGCTCCCGGGTCTGAGAGTCACAGACACCACCTGCCACCCTCTGAGCCAGACCTAAGACCACCAGGTCCTTCCTGTGCCTGCTCTGTGGGGAATTCTGTTTCTCTCAGGGCTGGAGGCTTTGAGCACTTCTGTATCCCAAGCTGGGGCAGGACGCGGCTGAGAATAGAGGTGAGAAGATGTGACGAGATGGAGAAGAAAATGGAGGGGGTCATCTGGGGGGAAGCCCATCAGGTGGGAGCTCCAGGCTGGGACGCCTGACCCAGAGGCTGAACGGAGGAAGCAGAGCTTCGATCTGAGCATGGCTGGAGTCCCACAGGTGGGAGTGGCACCGGGACCACCAGTCACACTGCAGGGACCTCACTGTCCTGCTTGCCTGACTCAAAGGGACGCCCCTGCGTGGGGGTGAGGAAGCTGGTGCTTCCTCTAGCCCCCGAGGTGTAACCAGGGCTGGGAGGTGGCCTCACCTGACATGCCCCCGACTCTCCGGCAGTCGAAAGCCATTGCTGTGGAGGTGCAGGCCGTTGGAGACGCCGTTGGAGACGCCGTTGGTGGCCATCTTGCCATTCTGAACTTCTGGCAGGGGGTGGGGAGAAAGGAACAGCGATCGCCTGCTCGCACTTGCCTTCGAAGCCCTCCAGCTCAAGGGCTTGGGGTGCGGCTCCCCTCCCAGAGAGCCAGTTCTGCTGGGCCAGCAGGCCAGGCTGGAGAGAAAAGCCCGTGCGCCCTCTGCTGGCTGAAGAGGCACAGCTTCAGTGGGCACTGCCCTTGGAAAGGGGGGTAGGAGGTGGGGGTGAGTTAGTGCCCAAATCAGGGCTGGGTCCAAGAAGAAGCCACTGAGGAGACTGATTCAGGCTGAGCCGTGAAGAACAACTGCCTCAGGTCCTCATGAGAAAAGCCAAGGAGAGAGCTGGCTTTTTCCCCTTTTTTTTAAATTTCAGAGAGAAATGTAAAGGGCGGTAAGGCCAACCCTGTCAGGTCTCTCGGAATTACAGCGACCGTCCTTCACACTGCACGGACAGTGTCACACAAGTCGGAAAACCGACTTCTTCTGGAGAATTGGAGCCACAGCACAAGGGGGCAGGTTTCTCAGCCGAGGCAGCACGCGCGCACACTCGCTCCCCAGCAGACACGCCAGGAGGAAGAACTTACCCCCTGAGGAATGGCATTTTCTGGGCAAGAGGAAGGTGTACGGCCGCTGCTTGTATGTCAGGTCAAACAAATAGACCTAGAGCGGAGGGTCAAGAGGAGAGATGGAGGCTGTGAGGTGATGAGGTGGCTGGGGAGCAGGGAGTCGGCCCGGAGACCTGCTGAGCATGCTCTGCATCAGGAAGCCTCGGCCTTGATCCCAAGCACTGTGCGGGAGTAGCCGTCCTCCACCCCCATCCTGTGCCCACCCTGAGGGAAAAAAAAGTGGCTGGATCCTGGGCCAGGTTTGGCAGTCAGCAGGAGGGAATACAGTGGACATTCAGCGTGAGCCACCGAGGGAGACTCGGAGGGGTTTCTGAGGAGCAAACCTCAGAGGGGAAATCTCCCCAGTGAGACAAGGTTGATTTGTGGAGGGTGGATTACTTAATTTCACTCATGAATTAAAATCAATTGTTTAAAATGAGAAGGTTCTCCGCGGTTACAGCCCAACATGTCATTTTACAGATGGGAAAACGGAAGCCTCAGAGAAGGACAGCAGTGTCCCCAAAGTGACACTGCTGGGAACTTCCCTTTGTGCATTTTATTATAAATGAACATTGAGTGAATTCTTACTTTGCTCCAGAAACTCTGCTGAGTATTTAATATGACTTATTTCATCCCATAAACTACCCCATGAAGAGATAACAATTATCATTACTCCCTTCACACATGAACAAATAGGCTCAGAGTTTAAGGTTTTTACTTTTTTCCTTCAGTTTTTGGGCCACACTTGGTGATGCTCAGGGGTAAGTTCTGGCTCTGCACTCAGAAATTACTCCAGGAGGAGCTTGGGGTCATATGGAATTCTGGGGATTGAACCTGGGAAGGGTGTGTACAAGGACCTAACTTGCTGTACTATTGCTCCAGTCTCCTTTTAGAGTCTAAGTGTTATTCATGGCCATGAAAGTATCATGAAGCATCACCAGGACCCAGCACCAAGTGTGTCTGAAACATTCTGTAAGACCGCCTGGCTCACTGCCTATCTCTAGGCCACCTCCGGCAAGGTGGTGGCTTAGCTTTCTGGAGCCAGTGCCCTTTTCCGAACCAGGACACTTACTCTCCATCCCATTTCTTCTACGCATGCTCACACCTGGCCTCATAATGGCATAACTACTTCACTGGCCATGCCTCTCCTTACTCTGGGTGGACCTTATTTTTGTACATATCCTCCTTATGTGGATGCAAAGGAAATGCTCAGGATGGAGTGCTTGTAGGATGAAAGAGTTTATACGAAACTTACGAATTAGCCTGACTGAGAGCACACACAATGAACATTACCAAGGAACCTCTCCTGGCTGCTGGCTATGGGGCGACAGTGGGGAGAAGCCGTCCCGGGCAGTGCTGCATACCTGCTCCCCACCCATGTTGACCAGCAGCTCCGTGCCGTTGGGGCTGAAGGTCACGTAGGTGGCCACCAGCACTCGAAGACGGTTGTTATAGTCAGGCATCTTCACTGGCAAGTGCCCTGCAGGGAAGGGCCCAGTCACCTTAAGCCATGGCTCCCAACAGTGCTTCTCCTGCCGCTCCCCCACCCCGCAATGGTGAGGGAGTAGTATGAAGTCAGATACAAGGATGAGAGCAATCACTATCACAAAAGCATTTAAATTAAGCCCTCAGTCAAATGTGTGGGCCAACTGCTTCAGATGCTTTAACTCACTTCGTATTTTATGATCTCATTTTACAGGAAAGAACTTAAGGCTCATCAAGGATAAGCAATTTACCAAAGGTCAGACGATGGCTGGACAATGGCAGTAAGGATCAAAGGCCAGATCTGCTTGACTCGGAAACGCTTGCTCCTGACCACTGCTGCTTGCTGCCTCCTAAGAAGCCCCGGAGGAGGTCAGCATTCAGCAAGGAACGGGAGCCAGAGGCGGGCTGAGGCCTACCTGCTACATAATACTGGGCTGCACCATCTGGAAGGGGCTTCTGCCGGTCACAGAAGGTGTGCACGCCGGCCGAAGGACTCTGCTTCATGCTCTTCCTGATGAGAAGGGAAACCAGACAGGTCAGGGTCCCAGAACACCCACTACAGGAAAACCTAAGATTATGTCCCTGAGGCAGAGAGGTATCGTGCTTCCTTACCCCAATAAGCCCAGAGGTCTAAGAACTAGACTTGTGAATGCAAACTTCATAGCATTATGGGGCTTTACACAAAGATTAGGTTTCCTGTCCTGGTCCTCATGATCACCCTTTGCTCTCCATTTTACAGATGAAGACACTAAAGCTCAAGTCCCACTCCAACTCATTAGTGCAGAGGGTCCCCAAGCCCACTAATGAGAGTAAAGCAGGTCAGACACTCCTGCACCTGTCCAGGTGTGCGCTAAAAACCCAGGCTGGCAGGGCCGCTCAGGACTGGACTTTGATGCAGGTTCTGAGCGCATTCTACTTTTGTTAACAAAGAGAGAAGTTTTAGTCCTATACTAAGATACTAAGTACCTCCCAAGCTGGGGAGTTTCTTTTCTACTTTCCAATAAACTTTTTCTATCCTCTAAAAAAAAAAAGAATAAAATAAGATGACATGTATAAGGTTATATAACTGTACAAATATTCACAGTAAAAGCATAGGCAGAAAACACTATACACTGATTTTTCTCAGATGATAAATCATAGGTCATTTATTGTACTTTTGTATTTTCCAAAATAATCCACATTAAATTTTTTAAGATCAACAAATTACAAACAAAACAAAACAAACAACAAACAAAACTCTCTTAAAAACAAAAGGGGCTGTGACTGAGAGTAAAGAAGCTGCTGGTGGGGCTGGAGTCCATACCTGTGGTTGTGGATCATGCGAATGTCATATAGTCTCACGAAGGGCCCACTGGCCCCTACTGCCAGGCAGTTGTTGTCCTGGGGGTTGACAGTGAGGCACTTGGCCTCCACCAACTGGCCACAGTACTCTGTCAGGTCAATCAGCACCTCCGAGTGCTTGCTGTTCTCCCGAAGGTCATACTGGCTGTGAGAGAGGGCACAGTGAGGAGACTGGGGGGCAAATCCTTAAGTGAAAGGCAGAGGAGAAATGAGGCCTTGTGATACCGGGGGCTTGGGAGGGACTTTGGAACTGTTCGTAAAAGATAAGAACGCTAAAAGAATCCCATACCTTCTGTTTTGTTGTAGTATCCTTCTTCTAAGGTTGATACTACTAGAACCAAATATATTTTTGATATATTTGGTACATCAAAAATATATCAGTATTATTGGGGCTGGAAAGATAGTACAGTGGATAGGGTCCTTGCCTTGTTTCAATCCCCAACACCTCATACGGTCCCCTGAGCCCACCAGGAGTGATTCCTGAGCGAGGAGTAAGTCCTGAACACTGCTGGTGTGGCCCAAACCTCCCCCATAAAACAAAACAAAACAAACAACCAAAACCCAAAAACCAAAAACACAACCCAAACCAACCCCTCAAAAAAAACCCCAAAACCACCCATATGCTGTATAACTACAACTTATGTACAATTATTACTGATTATAAACACTTAGAAATTGCTTTGTTTCTAGTATTTTCCTGAGTATTGTACAAGCACAAATTTTATCCCCATACCACCGTAGGTTCCACTACAATAATGAAAATTAACTGAGTTAAATAACTTGCCTAGAATGGCACTGCTAGTAAATGTCCTAAGATTGTGTTTTAATAACGATGCTCTGCTTCTTTTGAAAAATTTCTTGGAAGTAGAAATGTTCCAGGCTGGAGTGATATACAGCGGTAGGCTGCTTGCCTTGTACATAGCCGACCCGGGGATTCAATCTCCGTTACCCCCTACGGGCCCTCGAGCCCTCCAGGAGTGATCCCTGAGTGTGAAGCCAGGGATAAATCCTGCGCATCAGTGGGTGTGACCCCAAATCAAAAACCAAAACTAAACAAATAGAGGAAAAAAATAATTTTTATAGGTGGTGCTGCTGCACGCAGGAGGGCAGGATGGGGGAGGGAGCGGCCATGTGTGTGGTACTGGGAATCCGACTCAGACTCATGCCCTGCCAGGCACGTGCTCTGCTCTTTGACCGATAGCCATGGCCTCCAACTCCTTAATTCTATTTCTCATTTACTTTTCTTTCAGGAAACAAAAGAATCATGGAGGTGACAGAGAAGACAATCTAGCGGTAAATTAAGAGCTACCTAGAAACACCAGGTGCTGAAAGATGCCCAGGAGTCCCACGCGGGCGGTAAAGACTGTGCTGAATTATCTGCCTGGCTGTGCACCGCCATCCTTGCAGCCTGTAAACTTCCTGCTGCGAACACACGGGATTCAGGGAGCGGAGAGGACTTTCTCCATGTGCTTCCTCACCCTTGCCTAAACCTCTGCACTTACCTCTCCACTGTTCACCTTATCTTTCTAAACCATGCTCACCAGATTGCTCTTTCAGAACAATTTTTCTTATTTCGGGGGTGGGGGTTATTTCTGGCAGGCTTAGGCGATCAGATGAGATGCCGGGGATCTGCTGGGTTAGCCGTGTGCAAGGCAAGCATCCTACCCGCTATACTATTGCTGAAGTCTCCTCAAAAATACTTTTCATCACATCATTTCCTGCTCAGAAAATCAGAGAATCCTCAAAACTCCTATAATTTTGTCACATCCAGCAGTATTGAGGGCTCTGGGCTCTGGGTTCTGGGAACCACTGGTACTGGAGACTCTAATTCAAGTTGATCATGTGCAGGGAAGTGCTTTAACTTACTTTCACACTATCTCTCTGGCCCTGGAGAACCTGATGCTTAGGCTGATCTTATGATAGCAAGGCACAGAAAATCCCAGATGCTTCCCAACCCACAAATAGCCCAGTGTGAAAGTCCAGAGGAGGCAAAGACTATGCGCCCAAAGGTCAGCCGGCCTGGACATAGTGCAGGAGCAGGTAGAGTGGGGTGGGGTGGGGGAGAAAGGGAGGGCAGACTAAGCAAAGTTCCCAGCTGAGTGTGTCACAGACAACTGTCCTGGGTACACAAAGGTGGCAAGAACTGCTGAAGTGAGGAGCCTGGCTGTGGAAAGCAGCAGTAGAGGCAGATGGGCAGAGGCAGAGGACATGGTGGGGTGGGGGTGGGGAGCAGGAGTGGCATCGACCCCCTCCTGCTTCAGGCCCTTACCGGATAAGCCCATCCTCAGCAGCACTCCAGAACGTGTTGGGCCACATAGGCGCCGTGGCAATGCGCTTCACTCGGTTTGTGTGGTCTCCAAACATGTGGATGGTCTCCTTTACAGTCAGATCGTGGACATGCACCTTGGAGTCAGCTGCCCCCGTGATCAAGATTCGGTCCCCAGCGTGAGGCAGGAACTGCTCGAGAGAGATTGAAGGAGAGAAAAGCAGGCGGTGCGGGGCAGGGTTGGCTACAGATGGAGGCTAGTCTAGGGGTGAGTGTCTCTGTCCCTCTCCATATCCAGTGAAAAAAGCAACCCATTCAAAATAGTCCACTAAGAAAATGGGATCTAGAGTATGAGCCCGAGATAACTTTCAGTTTGCCTGCACACAAAAAGCGAGAAATTGGCACAGATAATACCTGTACAGGAAGACCTTAGGAACTTTCCCCTTTTGTTTTGGGGCCACATATGGTGGTGCTAGCACAGCGGTAGGGCGTTTGCCCTGCACGCAGCCAACGTGGCCGACCCGAGTTCGATTTCTCCGCCCCTCTCGGAGAGCCCGGCAAGCTACCGAGAGTATCTCGCCCGCACGGCAGAGCCTGGCAAGCTCCCCGTGACGTATTCGATATGCCAAACACGGTAACAACAAAGTCTCCAATGGAGACGTTACTGGGCCCGCTCGAGCAAATCGATGATCAACGGGAGGGCCTATATTATTATTATATTACCTATGGTGGTGCTCGGGGGTAATTCCTGAGTCTGTGGTTGGGGGTTATTCCTAGTGGTATTACTCCTAGGAATCATGCAGTTCTGGGGTCAAACCTGGGTGGAGCTATTTCTCTGCCCCCCTTTATTTTCTTTTCCTTTTATGGCCCTTCTCCCAACATGGGAAACCTCACCTCAACCACTGCTCACATCGCTGGCTGTGAGTCTGTAACAAGCTCTGGCCAAGGGACATTTGCTAGGGCCCTTTCCTAGGGAAGGAGCCCAGGGTAGGGTCCATGGCATCTCCTGCCTATTCTATCCTTAGGTGGAAGCCCATTCTCTGGGAACGCACAGTCCCAAACTTGTGGAGGTCCCTGTGAGGGCCACAGATGGCTTGAGTCTCAGATCTTTTCAAGGGACATGTGATAGAGTGACATGATACCCCATCATGATAGCTTGTGACCCCATCTTACTTCCACCCTATGGATCCCTCTTCTAATTTTTTCATTTTTGGGGCCACACCCAGTAGTGCTCAGGGATTACTCCTGGCTCTGCACTCAGGGATCACTCCTGATAGTGCTTGGAGGACCATATGGGATGCCAAGAAACAAACCCAGGTTGGCCACGTGCAAGGAAAACACCTAACCTGCTGTATTATTACTTTGCCCCCCGCCTCTATATATATATATTTGCTTTTTGGGTCACACCCAGCGATGCACAGGGGTTAATCCTGGCTCTGCACTCAGGAATTATTCCTGGCGGTGCTCGGGGGACCATATGGGATGCTGGGAATTGAACGTGGGTTGGCTGCATGCAAGGCAAATGCCCTACCCGCTGTGCTATCGCTCCAACCACCTACCCTCTTTTTATCTTAATGGAAAAGTTTATCCCAATAGACAACAAGGCCAAGTGAGTACTGGTGCATGAGACGTCATTCTACATTTAAATAGCTGAAATTCCACTTGACTTGAAATGTTCACACAAGAGCGACAATTCACTTCTCCAACACATATTTCTCTAATGGTACTGCAGGTCAAGGGACAGAGGAACATAATTTAATCACCTATAGGGACAACTAATAGTGTTCATGGAGACAGTATACTCCATGTTAAATAGAAATAAGCAGATGAATCCTTGCTAAGAATTTGTGGCATCACAAGCACCTCTGGGAGTGCCCCTGAACACCTAGTAGAGAAGAGTCCTCCTCTTCCCTGAAACCCGGGTGTGCAACCAACACCCCTGCCCTCATTCCCCACCCCCCCACCCCCACCACCATGCGGGTCCATTCCCAAAGTAATCTGTGCCCCAAGTCTCACACATTGTAGCTGCCACTAGGGGGAGCTCACAGGTTAAATAAAGAGTCATATTTCATTTGGAAAAGAATCCTCTTGTATAGTATCATTATTATTTTGTTTCTTCTATTATGGGGTCATACTTCAGGGCTTACTCCTGACTGCACACAGGAATCACTTAGGCTGATGCTTGGGGGAGCCATTCTGCAGTGCTGGGGACCAAACCAGCATCAGCGACATGCAAGGCAAGCACGCATTTTACCTGCCTTACTATCTCCCTGGCATCCCAATCCATTCCACATTATTTTTATACAATAGGAGAAAGGTCTATGAATATAAGTACTTTTTCCAATGTTAGCAAGCATCAAAGCCACTGCCGAATTCTTGTTTTATGAACTCAGAAATGTATTAGTTATCTCAATGAACTCTAATATTCATTTGGTGGACTATTTTTTTAAAATTATGTATTTGTTCATAAGTATGGGTTGATAACCTCAGCTACTTCCTCTTGCAGATGACTAAGTGGACTCAGAGATGTCAGGTGATTTCTTAAATCAGATCTCCCTTGGGGCTGGAGTCATAGTACAGCAGCTTGGGCACTTGCTCCATTGGGTCCCCTTACCCCCCCAGGAGTGAGTCAGCAGTAAGCCCTGAGCACCACCAAGGTGTGGCCCCTAACGAAAAGACAAAACCAAAACAAAACACCCAAATCACAGGGTTCCCAAGAGGCAGGTGAGGTGGGGCATCAAACAGAGGTCTGCCTGCTCTCTGAAGTCCTGCCCAGAACCAAGCCCACCCCCTGCCCATGCACAGAGATGAGCTCTCTGGGAGCCAGTCTCCTGACTCTGAGAGAGGAAAGGAGGGGGTGGCGTCAGTGACTTCGAGAGGCACCAGAGATACCCACACAACTGTGCTTAGACCACTGTCACTTGCTCCGTGGATTCTCCTGCTTACCTTGACAGAGAAGATATTTGCAGTGTGGCCCGTGTGCATGGAGAGCAGCTTCTTGTGATGCAGTGGGTCCCACACAATCGTGTGCTGGTCATCGGAGCCAGAGGCCAGCAAGCTGCAAGCAAAGTGAGGGGCTCGACCTCTCCCCAAGTTCCAAGACGCCTCTCTCCTCTTTTTTTTTTTACACCCCCACTGATAAGGAAGAGTTAGGCAGCGCAGAACTTGAACAGTAGATGTCACAGGATTTCAGGTTATTTTATAAACATTGAGGATCTTCAGTTCTGCTTTGAGAATTTATCATTATTCCTTAAAGACATTGGTTCATTAATTTTAAAAAAAAGGTGGGGGGGTTGGTTGGTCATCCAACCTTCTACGTGTCTAAGACTCACTGTTTAACTATTTTGGTAACGATACAAACAGCAAAGAGCAACAGTGGCCTGAGTCGACTCTTTAATGTAGCTCTATTGAGAACAAGGACCATTCCCTTCGCTCAGCATCCCGACTCTTCCTTTCACATCTTCGAGTCGAGGTGCCATAGCTCATACTTACTCTCCTTTCTCATTCCACTCCAGACAGTTGACACAACCTGAGTGACCCTGGTGAAGTAAATGGAAAGGAACAAGAGAACCAGTTAGATATTCTTCTGGGGAACTTACCATTAAGAAGCAGAATTGAACAAGTAACCTAACCTTACCATCTGTGATGCTTTCCAGGTGCAGAGGAGTGACCAAAACTAAAGTGAGCCACCTGGCATCTTACAATATATGAAGTTCTTTCTTCTTTCTTTTTATTCCCCCCCCTTTCACCTTTTGGGTCATACCTGACAATACTCAGGGGTTACTCCTGGTTCTGCACTCAAGAATTATTCCTCACAATGCTTAAGGGATCATATGGAATGCTGGGGATCGAACATGGGTTGGCTGTGTGCAAGGCAAACACCCTACCGACTGTACTATTGCTCCGGCCCTACATGGGGCACTTTCATGATTATAATTCCGCTCTATAACTGAACACTCTGAGCCATAAAGGGCAGGTTTCGTGGATCATAGTTTTTAGATACGTAAACTGAAGTGCAGATAATGGTGAGTAATTAAAGTGAAATCTAAGCCAATTTTGCCTCTTACCATACACCCCTCAGCCACAGAAAATTAGCCCAGAGGAGCAACTGTCCCAAAGGCAACCAATTAATTAGAAGGCTGCACTTTCATTCATTTGGTATATATAAAATTTATTAAGTATCCACTCCATATCCATCCCATGCCAGTTACTGTTCAGGTGCTGGGGGCTACATTAGCATACAAAACAAAGTCCCTAATCTTCTGGAACTCGTTTCAAGTAGATGGAGTCTGCTCTAGTAAGATAAATTGGGTGACAGCCTGTGCATAGGAATATTATGTGTTTGTGTGTATCTGAGTGTGTCTGAGTTCGTGCTTGCAAACCACCTGAGTATGGAGGATCCTGAATGATTGCTATGGTGTTTACAAAGAGCTGGGCACAGTGTTCATGGAATGACATCCTCTAGTCATCCACCTCCTGAACCTCTGAAATCTAAAAATACGTCATGCTAGGAAACTGAAAAATAAGAGTGCAGCGAAGATCCTTGAGATCAGGATATCATCCTAGATTATCCACATGGGTTAATATAATCACACCAGCCCTTCAAATCAGAAGGCTTCCCTTGGCCCAATACAACTAGAGTGATGGCAGTCAAAATGTGGCTCAGTTATAGAGCACTTACCTTGCATGTGTGAGGTTCTGGGTTTGATTCCTGGCACTGAATGGTGCTTTGAGCACTGCTAGGGGTAACCCCTGAGCATAGAGCCTAATCTCAAATATATCCCCCCCCAAACAAAATAAAATTATTTTTCCCACACTTGTCAAAAGTATTTTACTAAAAGAATTGTTATTAAGAAAATTATTATGTTCAATATAAATTTATGCTCTCAAAAACTGACTGAAAGAGAACAGGTGGACCAGAGAAAAGCAGGCAGCTACCGATAATCCCTCAGTGGAAAAGTAAGTTGCCAGCCTTACTTAAGAGACTCATAAACAAATCTCTTTAGAGATAAGAAGCCACAACTAATTTCAGACCTGTGCAAGGCTGTAAAAATGGGATGCATTGGAGGAGGGTGGGTTTGCCAGTGCTCATGCAGGCAGAGCCCCGGCAGCCACTTACTCCCACAATCTAAAATTGCTGCCATGCTCTGGTCAAACTCCACTGTCTCAGAACAGACCTCACCAAGATATTAATCTCTAAAAATTTGGGTATGTGGGTTCTGTGACATATCTCCAGGCTGTATTGGGGTTGAGATGGGCTACCTCCCCCCACCTCCCTGTACCTCTGGAAGGCCTGGCAGTCACATCCACAACCCAAAGCCACCACCCAGTTGCAAACCAGAATGTACAAGAGGAGAGAGAGAGAGAGCAAGAAGAAAGGTGCTGGAGGGATGAGAGGGAAACTGAGGACATCGGTAGTGGGAAATGTATATTGGAGGATGGACGGGTGTTGGAATATTGTATGAATGAAACCCAATCATGAATAGCTTTGTGATAGTCTATTTCAGGGTGATTCGATACACAAACAAAAAAGTAAGCTGCCTATTTAAACACCCGCCCTAATGCTTAACATGCCCATATTTTGTTTTTCAAAAGTAGGTACTATAAACACCCTCAAAGAAATCATACATATATCTTCAACATTACAAAACGAGGTCTGAAGGAAAAGCCAAATATGAAAACACAATTTATAAAGTAAGCCTCTCAAGCCTAGAAAACTGAAATAGAGAGATGACCTCATGAATGCTACGATACATAAAGAGCTAAGAGCAAATGAACAACTCTAAACACCTTCCCAATAGTAAAGCTACAAAGTGAGAGCTTACAGTATTATTAACACTACTATTTTCTTCTAGTTATCATCTCTTCATACATAAATCAAGATAAACTTTTTCTACTCAATTATCATTCTATCTTTCCCCTAATTTTTTCTTTTCGGATTTTAAGGCCATATCCAGCGGTGCTCAGGGCTTACTACTGCCTCTGTGCTCAGGGATCACTCCTGATGGTGCTCAGGGGACAATATGGGAGGCCGTGCATAGAACCTGAGTTGGAAAAGTGCCCTACCTGCTGTACTATTGCTCTGGCCCCTCTCTAACAACATTTATCCTTTGGTTTGACTGAACACAAAAGGGTTGAAAACTAAAGAGTATCAACTCTTATTGGAATGGCACTTGGGAAATGCAATTCTAGAAATGCTAAATTTTAATGGAAGTGGTAATTCCTGAATGAAGAGCCAGGAGTAACCCCTGTGCATCACCAGGTATGATCCAAAAAACAAAACAAACAAACAAAAAAATTAAGGGCAAGAGAGCACAACAGTCGAATGTATACTATGCATGCAGGAGGCCTGGGTTCAATCCCTAGTGCTGTCAGAAGTAGTAGCCTCTGTATGAGGTCAGGTATGCCATCAGGTGTGATCCCAAAACATATTAAAAATTAAAAGTAGGCACATATGCTTCCCGAGCCCATGTGCTGCTTGTGCCCACATGGCGGAGCATATGTGTTGCCTGCGTCTCCCGTTTTTTTTTTTTTTTTTTGCTTTTTGGGTCATACCCGGTGATGCACAGGGCTACTCCTGGCTCTGCACTCAGGAATTACTCTTGGCGGTGCTCGGGGGACCATATGGGATGCTGGGAATCGAACCCGGGTCGGCCGTGTGCAAGGCAAATGCCCTAACCACTGTGCTATCACTCCAGCCCCGCATCTCCCCTCTTGAGATGTGTACTTTCAGGCTTTCATGTCTAATACTGGGATGTGTGTAGAGGCTCCCTCCACCTTCGGAGAAATCCACGTTCTCTCCTCAGCACTTTACTCTCCACTCTCTCCCACTCTCTCTTCCTCCTTCCCTTCAAAACCTCCAAATAAAAACTGTAATTTAAAAAAAATTAAGGGGCTGGAGCGACAGCACAGCGGTAGGGCGTTTGCCTTGCACGCAGCCAACATGGCCGACCCGAGTTCGATTCCTCCGCCCCTCTCGGAGAGCCCGGCAAGCTACTGAGAGTATCTCGCCCGCACGGCAGAGCCTGGCAAGCCACCCGTGATGTATTCGATATGCCAAACACAGTAACAACAAAATCTCCAATGGAGACGTTACTGGGCCTGCTCGAGCAAATCGATGAACAACAGGAGGGTCTTTACCTTTTACCTTAAGGGGCTGGAGTGATAGCACAGCGGGTAGGGCGTTTTCCTTGCACGCGGCCGACACAGGTTCGATTCCCAGCATCCCATATGGTCCCCCGAGCATCGCCAGGAGTAATTCCTGAGTGCAGAGCCAGGAGTAACCCCTGAGCATCGCCGGGTGAGACCCCCCCAAAAGTTAAAAATTAAAAAAAAAAAAAAAGGACTTTCAAGGAAACAAATTCTTCTTTGCAGTTTCCAGAAGAAATACTGCCCTGTCAAGAGCCTTACTTTTAGAAAGTGTGATCTACAGAATTTTAATGTTTTGGGCCACTTAGTGATGCTTGGGGCCACTTTCAGCAGAGCACAGGGGGCAGGTACTAGGGAACCATTTGGGCTGGGTGTCACACTCAGGCAACTACTGCAATGTAAAGTATATGCTCCAACTCTTTCTCTGGTCCCCGCAAGTGTTTTACTTTTTTTATGGTGGTGCTGGGAATAGAATCCAGGGTTTCTCACAAGTAAGGCAAGTATACCAGCTCTTAGCTACACTCCCAGCCCCCTGAATGTATATTGTTTTAAGCTACTAAGTTTGTGGTAATTTGTTATGGCAGCAATAGAAAACTAATATAGAAATTGAACTCTACATTCTTTATCTTGTTAAACAAGTATCATACTCAGGTATGAGTATGATAGGTATCATACTCATTTCTTGGATAAGAAAAGCCATGCTCAGAGATTAGGTAGCCTATTTTGATATTGTGATTTATAATAATTATACCTTTGGTCTTCACTCTTGTTTCTGGCACAAAGCACCTAAAACCCTTTGAATTCCTAAGTGATGAGAGATAAAGAGTCTTTTGTTTTGGAATTTTAGGGCCACATGCAGAAGTGCTAGAGGCTACTCCAAACTCTGCTTGGTACTCAGGAAACCATGTGGTGCTGGAGATTGAACACGGGCCTCCTGCATGCAAAGCATGTGCTCAGCCCTTGAATCATCTCTCTGCGCTCTTAAATGATATCTTAGGGGCTGGGGAGATAGTATAGCAATAGTACAGTGGTAATGTGCTTGCTCTGCACACAGCAGACCTGGGTTCAAGGTTTATTCCCTGGCACCATATTAGGTTCTTTGAGCACTGCCAGGAGTAATTAACTGAACACAGAGTCAGGAGGAAGCCCTGGGCACAGCCAGGTGTGACTTCCCCCCACGAGCCCACAAAATAAGGGTATCTTAATACTTATAACAAACTCCTTTCTTGGGCTGGAGTGACAGTACAGCAGGTAAGGCTTTTGCCTTGCATGTGGTCAACCCAGCCCAGGTTCAATTCCCGGAATCCCATATGGTCTCCTGAGCACTGCCAGGAGTAATTCTTGAGCACTACTGGGTGTGACCCCTGAAAAAGCAAACAACAACAACAAC